AGAATACTTTTTCCTAAAATGTACAAACTAATAAATAATAATAGAACACCAAGATATGGAGGACGGACAAAATTCCTCACCTTAAACTTTTATAAACAACAATACCGAGGATACAACTTGGTGAAAGCAGTCGTCAAGAAGCGTTCTTCTGTACACCAACAGCCGTGCTAACCTTTTCAAGTGCCAATTCTCTGCCGACAAGTCTAAGTACAACTTGCACTAGCTCTCTTACTCTAGCTTCCCTGTCTCACAAGGATCAGAGTATAAATATATATCAAGAAAGCATAGTCTCACATCACTTCTTCGATAATTTGTATTTATTGAGAAATTGCCTAGTACAACTTATAGGTGAATTTTGAGTCAGGCAAACTACTTTTTTTCTTTATCAAAAGACAAAAAAAGAAAAAGAACCCACTTGCTCTGTCTCCTTCAACATAGTTCAATGGGTAATATGAATCCATGTCTTCCTTTCAAATAATTACTTAATACAAATTTTGAGAAAATCTAGTTCATTAAATTTCGCTACCTATACTTTCTGTTTCACATTTACAAAAGTTACTCGACACATAATTTGTCTTAGTCGTAGTAGTAAAAACAAATATCTTTCTTTGATACATACACTAAGGGGCCTTACTACACTCTCCCCTTCCCAATGCAAATGACCATATTCTTAAGCATGGCATGATAACAAAGATTTGAGCAGTACAGATGTTAAACTCATACTAAAATAACATTGATTCTTCTACTATGACTATGAAAATTATATGTTTTAGTGAGACTCGAGAAAACCCTCCAGGAATAGGCAGAATCAATCAAAGAAATGACTCTCAGGGTCTGTCAACCATTACAATATTGCATATGATATTCTGTTCTATATAACAAAGAGTAATGCAATTATTTGTCAGAAATGTTATCAACTGACCTTGATACAACGAGCTCACAAAAGGAGGGAAATAGAACTAGCAAATGTGGACATTTGTCTTTGTTCTCTTCCACTCCTAGACCACCTTTCAACAAGGGATGTAAAGGCAGGATAGATGCAGTATCCAAATGAATTTTTAAGCGAGCCAATTCCTGAAGGACATAAATTATTTCTTCAAGCCTTGCCGCCGGTAGTTGACGTTCACCTGCAGGAGTAGGCAGGGAGATAATAAATGATATCATTGGAGCTGAAATGAACTTAAAGATTACATCAATATATTGATGATTTATTTGTAGAATACAAAAACCACATACCAAGTCATTCTCATCAGCTAGAAATTTGTTTAAGATGTATTCACATCTACTCATTAGTACCATTATTGAGATTTTGCTGACTTCAGCTCTTGTCAAGTTCCAATCATTGCTTCATCGTCGAAACTGAAAACAAATCACCAATATGTCAAATCATCGGAATAATTACTTGTGTGTATAGTTGTTTGTAGAAACTAAAGATGTGAATTCATTACAGAAGTATGCACATTAGGAACATTCAAAAAGCATGAAAGATGATTGCATGTTCACACTATTTAATCATATTCTCCATGTGAACTTAAAAGAGTTGATACTAAACATAATTCCTAGTTTTAGCATTATTTACAACTTATACTAGTTGCATCCTTCCTGATAGCTAAAACATTAGTCAGTAGTTGCCCTCAGGTTTCCTTGAATAGATAAGAATGGTCCTGTTATCCTCACTCTTGCCATACAAAAAAATAGTAATCATAGGGTACACCATTATAAATGTTAGGACTAGGAATGTGTGGATTTGGATCCAAGTCACAAAATGCAATTTTAGTTACCTGCTCAAGGAAAAAACTTCTGTAAGCATGTCAAGGAAAATTTGCTACAATGGACAGGCATAACTTCCACGGTCTCAATAGGCAAAGAGCTGTTCGTGATGCACAAGGTCTATGGTGGAAACAAGCCTTTGCAGAATCTGTAATATTAACACAATAGAAAATAATAAAATGGATAGTTATGGGGCAAGAGACTAGTTTAGTCAGATTAGTAGATGGCTTACATCAAAAGGTGCATCAATTGGTGACTTGAGAACCTTATCACCCAGAATGTCTAATATGGACATCTCCAGGGATTCATCAGCCTTAAGAGCCTCAGCGAGAGAGAGAATTGGAAGGAAGAGCACGGCCACAATGACCCACCAAGAATATTCATAGACATCTGCAATTTCTTCCAAACACACAATCTTGCTGGTCTACTAACTTTTAAGTCTGTCCACAGTTGACAGCGAATTTACAAACATCATTCACAAGAATACAGTTGAAGCCTTCAACGGCCAATCTCCACAATGAACTATCTGGATTGTCTCTTCTTGTTGTCATACACCTAGATAATAGCTTGACCATGTCACTAAATGGTGTAAATAGTTTCAAAGTCTTATAATAAGAATGCACTGATGATATCTGGATCCTAAATCTGTTTTCCCTCTGATTACCTAAAATCAAAGTCTATTATACATTAAACTGTCCACAATACATTATATACAATGCGGTAATTGCTATCAAGGACAGAAGCTCTCATCATTCATCCAAACTATCCACTAGATAACTATATGTTCCACCACAAATGAAAAAATAATACATGCTGTTTCTAAAAGATGTCAGAAAACCACCCCCTTGCCCCGTCCGTGGGGTTGGTTAATTCTTACTGTATGTGAAATGCAGATATAACTAATTCTTTCAGAATCACAACCACATGCCAAACATAACATTTTGATCATTATCCCAAATAATCACCCTACTAATATGCGAAATATTTTCATACCTTCTCAGAAGCTGATTATATTATAGACATATAGTTGCAATGGAATATTTTACCCTCAGAGAATGGACTAATCCATACCTTCCAGGCTTTGAACAATTTCTGGAAATATGATACACTTCAACTGCAGGGGCCGTAGGAAAAGATCAACCAGACAGGAATAAGCTTTTCTGCAAACAAGTGGCTTCGAATGCCTTCCATTGCGTTGAAGTCAATTCAGAACTCCTACATGAAGCTTGAGCATTGTTTGGGGAGATTTGAGCATTACCATTGGTGCATCATACTTTGTCCTGCATGAACATCTATAGACAGTATAAAAATATCAAGTTTCACACGTTTTGAAGGTAAAACCAGAAGTTGAGTGAACATATACAAAGGCATTTGTATACCTGGAATATTGTCACCAGTGCCAGGTTGCTCTGCCTCATTTTCTTATTTTGAAGAGGGAATCAGATTTTGGAAGATATTGCAGAAGTTCCCTAAGAAGGACAAGCCACATTGAAGAAAGTTGCTCGGTTGGACTTAGAAGAGGAAAAATTTCAGTTAAGTACGTAGTACTGGTGGAACATTTCCCTATAGAAAAGAAAAAGAAATATGTGAATGAATTAATTATACAAGATTGTCAAACAAGTTTCCTTAACCCAAAAAGAGGAGAAGGAAAAGATGAAGACACGGATTTTATTTCCATAAAATAATCATTATCACAATTTCTCTATCTTAAATAATTACATGATTGCAGTGCAGTTTCAACAGGAAAAACAAAACGTAAACCTTCCATAATTCTGGCAAAGATATTTAATGATCTCATTACCTCAAAAACTATAATACAAAAGGAGTGAAATGAGTGTTTATGAAACTTAGTAGGCCCCCAGCAATTCCAAGGAAATTAAGCTATATGTGCAACAGCTTTATTTCAATAAAGGCTGTCAGTTCATGCTTATCAACCACCTTTGCCGCATATATTTGTTTAATTGACATCGTTTGGGTATTCCTTAGATAAACAAGCTAACTACTAAAAAAAATGTCATATGCTTTCTCTGGTTTTATGTATAAAGCATAAAAATTCTCAATTAAGTATCTAGTAATGGTTGGTAATTAAGAAAATGGAAAATAAGCAGTGGTCGGTACCAAATGTTGATTTCTATTTTTGTTTTTTTTTTTTAATATTAGAAAGGCAAAAGAAAGGTAGTTTGATTTTAACTTACAAATTCGTTTCATAATTTTCGTGGTTATCATTGTCTGCTTGACAGCCAAATCAATGATTGCTAGCAACGTGTGTACATGTTATTATCAAACATCCTTTGAGCTTGTACATATAGTTCTCCTGGCAGTTCAAACAGAAACAAAAAAAACATAATTATGCCATGAAAGAGGTTCAAAAAAGCAGTACTATACTCAAAAATGTTGATTAGTGTTTCATCAATTACATCATAGACTGACCAAGGAATGTGATAAATGTCAACTTCCAGCGATTAAACCAGATATGGATATTGCTATCCAAATCCAGTTTCACCGTATTAACATAATCATGTTTAATTGTAGAGCCACTTAAACTCCTAAACTGAACTATCTTGAAATAATACATTACCTAGATCATGCAAAATCTCCTGCTTCACTTGGTAGCGTATTACGCTGCAGTATGGTGACTTCTGAAGAGCAAACTCAAAACACCAAGTACTGAATTGAGGTAAGCCATTGGCAAATTTCCTGATGCATAAAATTATTTTACAAGTTAGAAAATATCTAATGAACTAAACAGTTAAGTATTGATTAAGGTAATCCAATGAGCTTACTGCAATAAGCAATTTAAGTAGTCTGCATGTAATCAAACAGGTATTACTCGGCAGAGAAAAAAAACGCTATATTCTAGTCAAGGCAAGGTGTGGAGATTACCTTGGCAGAATGAGAAAGAACAGTTGTCTGTAGACAATTTATTGCCGCAAGAGAAACTTCTTTACTACCATTTCAATGCTTTTTTTAACAAAAAGAAGTAAAGATTCCCATCCGCACCAAGTACATTAAATGATGTAAGTAGAGATTGATGAGGAAAATAAATGATATAATTGTGGAAGAAAAAAGCTTAGACACATCGATATTCAATTTAAGGCCTACCTGACCAGAAGTTGTCTAAGTTTCTAAGAAAAGGAAAGAAAGAACGACCGTAACAAAACCGTGACGTCACACACCCCTTACACCAAGGACGAGGACAAGTGTCTCATCCCACTGTTTCTGAGCAGTGTTACGGCTGTAATCAAATAATGAAAATAAGAATTCTTGTACAATAAAAATATTAGTGAATCTGATAAAGGAATTAAAATTTCAGACATCTCATTTTACCAAAAAAAAAAAAAAAAAAAAGAGGGAGAAGAACCACCTATGGTGTATAAGCATGTGAACCGCTTTTCCTCCCCGAGTCCCGAGTTCTTTCCCTTGCCATTCATCTTTTGAAGAGGTTGCAGCCTACATGTACACAGTTCAAAGCCCATCAAAAGAAGCAAAAAAAAAATAAAATAAAATAAAAAAAAATAAAAAAATAAAGCCACTTGATGCATATATTACTAGTTTACTTTACCATATGTGAAGCACGACCTAACGTAGGAAAGACATAATTCCAAAGACAGTCCTCCCACATGCTTTTTGAGAGCTTTTGCCCATGACTTCCCAGAGTTTGAAAAAGTGTTCTGATGGCTGAATTCCTGACCTGAATCATAGAATACATGGAGTTAGTATTCTACCCTGCTTGATGGAGGGCTCCAAAAATATAAGGTGAAAAGTAATACAGAATCAAAAGTGGTTCTCTACGGAAGCAATCACAAAACTTACTAGCACTGTATCTAATGATATCTTCACCAATAATAAGAAACAAGAATAATTATATCATCAAAATTTTATGAACAAGCAACAATGTGTTATTTATTTAAATGTCCACTAGAATCATCTTGTTGTAATAAACTTCTGAAAGTAATGCTATCATACCTCTGGCCTCTCATCAGCACCAAGCTTCTGAAGTAATGAGAAAACAGAGAATAGCAACTTGTCGCAGTCCACTACACTTATTGGGGGAGTTTGGTCATTCACTTTATTGTGTATGTTAAATGTCTGCTCTTCCCTCTTTTCACCATCCATCTGTTTTGGAGTAGAAACCAAATCGAGATTTTCTGCAGTGTCGTAGTAGAGAATTAAACTTAATTGTAACTTGTCAGAGTTCACTATGAAGGCATCTAAGAGCTAACAGTTTTACAGTGGCAAGTTAACCTGCTTCCTTTTCCTCTGATGCCCCATTAAGAAGCCCCTTCGCAATAAAATCAGTTGTAGTCCACAACAGACCTACTGCCGTCAAGCTTATATTCAACTCAGTCTTTTGAGCACTGTATGCTCCAGTAACATCCACACATCTGCAAGTTTCATCTCATTAATGGTATGATCTAACAGTGGGAAGTGGTCAAAATAGTTGTTCATGTTGCAATGATTAAGATTTATTGAATATCATGGATACTGTTAAAAGAGTTAGTTATCAAGGTCGTATCAGTTTAACATTATCTTGAACTGTATAAAAATGAGTTCTCACCCACAATCAGCTTTGTTTGATCTAGGCAAAACTATATTTCTCTGGTAAAATTAGACAGGACACTAACTGCACAAGATGCATTTATTTTCTTTTGATTCATGCAAGCTAACTTCAAAAGATTAAAAAATACACAAACGTTTATAAATTCAGAACATTGTATGTTTTGCATCATAATTGCAAGCAAGAGATATTATTTTCAAATTCCTCTGTTCCATTAATTAAATATAACATGGAGCAAGATAAGCTTGTGTTTAGATCCATGTGATAAGCACTTTAATTAAATTCAACTGTGCATGTAAGGGGTGCGTTGGAGTTCAAATATTACTGTCAGGTCTTTCCTATAAGCTTTACTAAATGAAAGCCATTAGGCATATAAATGGATGGAGACATTTATGCAATAGACAGATTGATAGAGACAGAAAAACTATACAGCAGGGGTACTAAAAAGTACATCCATTATACATACAAAACACAATATAAACTTAAAAAGTACATCCATTATACATACAAAACATAATGTCAGGAAACATAATAATACGGGTACTCAAAAGCTGCTATATCTGAGATCTTACACATGGAGGCAGTCTGCAGGTATACCGGAAAGACCATCATTCATGATGACACGAAGGCTCTACAGCAGAACAGTTAGGTCAGATTAGATTTACAAAACAGACCCAACCACTATATATATATAGATATCACCATAAAAGAGAGAGAGAGAAGAAGGAGAAAGGGTAAATTCTGTATTTCCAGAGAAAATCTCAGTAAGGTCTTACTGACCTGGAATCCCAAGGTGACAAGGTCCTTCTCCGATGCATCCGCAACAGACCTAAAAGAAAGAAAAGAAACAAGGAGACTCAAAAAAAATAAAAATAAAAATAAAAAAAATAAGAAAATACACCATAGGTAGTCATCCCTCAACCTCCCCACTCTTACAAGCAAAAACCTGTGAAAAATATAATCATGTGAATGACAAACCTCAACATTTCAAGTATATTTGACCAACTATAGTGCAATTTTTCTCCACATCTCTGCAGGGAAAAAGGAGAAGAAATAATGTAAGTGCAGGTTGAGAATCAAGAGATTAAAATGAAATTTATATACAATCAGTGCATATTACCTCCAAAATATGCAGAAGAATTTTCAAGGTTCCAGCTCGGACATCAGTGCTTTGAGTAGAAAAATAAAGAACCCTTAGTGGAGATATAACAGCACACTCAAGCGATCTCAACTCTGCCTGCATCGTTTCAACCTACAGAAAGAGAGAGAGCAGAATCAACACCTACTGTCTAAAGAATATGGGGCCTTCCATCCACAAAAAAAGGTGAAAGTTCTCACTTCTTTAGAGGGGCCATGAGATAGCGCATTATTCTGGAACTGTTCCGAACCTAACACTGCACATATCGATTGATCTAGTGCATCAAGTGCTATATTTCGTAAATGGTGACTAGAATTATCAGCAAGCTGCATCATTTTACTCTGACGTCAAGAAAAATTAAATGGCACTAGCATTTTGCATAATAGTATAAATATAGATTATGATCACCTCAAGAAAGTGGCCAACAACTTCATCCCACAAAGGCTCTACCCCTGCAATAGGAGGATTGCAGAATGAAGCAAACAAGAAAATATTAACTCAGACCATAACAAGCTTATATGACATTATACCAAACCTATATATAATAATAACATATAAAAATACTAAATTTAATACAATTATATTTCAATAAACTTCTGCACAATCAATGACACAACATACTGTGAAGATTATTGACAAGGACAGATATCATTCTGTCCACTGAAAAGCTGATGCTTCCAATTTTTTGAGTTGATGTTGGTCCAAAACTACTTGAAGTTGAAACCATGCATTGATGTGACAGCTGCCGTAGTGCAGAGAGTAGGGCTTTAACTGCAGATATGTGCATCAATGCTGAGCTCTCAAACAGCTTCACAGACCAACAAAAAACACTAAGGTTAGAACGTTATGCTCATATTGGAGTATAACACATGCAATTTTTATAGCAAAAAAAATAAAGTGCCTTTATGTTGTAAAGAACAGGAAGCATGCAAATGATGCAGAAACGCATTTGGAAAGTTCTTTGACAAGTTAATTCTGAGAAAGGTTCTGAAAACCATGAATTTCCAAACATTATAGTGAACAATTTCTTCCTAACAGAAGGGACCAACACAGGGAAAACATTATATTGAGCTTCATTCTGAAAGGATTTGCACAAACATAGAACAGCTTCTACTTGTTCGTTACCAAACAAAACTAAAACTACTTATACTACCTGAGAATTCAAAGAAGAGAGAATATTGAAGTCGCTGTAGTGGCCCGAAGATTCCCGTGTAAGCTTCGCTGTGGAGACTTCCTATAGATATAAAAACACTATAATTGTAGACTTTTATGACAATACTATCCAAAAGCCTGTTTAGTCATTTGTATGTTTACATATAACATGCATAAAATCTTTACAAGGGAATCATCATTCTAGTAAGGATAGATTTAATCCAACCTGCAGAACACTCTTTTGGGAAGCTGTTTCTAGAAATTACCTGTGTGGTGGCATGAGGAGAATGGATAGCTCGGTCCAGAGCAGCCAAGGTTTCCAGTACCTATGTTTATTTGCAATAACAATTTTAAGTGCTGAACTTTGTCTACTTTAGAGACAATTGTTAAGAGTAAGCAAACATACCAAAACCCAAGATGGACCTAATACATTGTGTAATCGATGAGCAATATTGAAGAGAGTCCTTAAGGCCTGATTTGCAATAATAATCAGAATTACCAGACATCTGGAATAGATCCATTCCGATAAGTAAAAAGATAGCAGAATATGATCAAAAAACCAAACTCAATACCTGCACATTTTTGGGAGTAAGGACAATGTTATCCTTCTGATCTACCAATGATTCTGATCGCTTTGGCCCAGGAGATTGTGACAAACTACTGAAATCTCAAGTTTAAGCCAGAATTCAGCATAGTTAAATCAATAAATTTTTTAAATTTCAATGACCAAGGAAGCAAATTCTTAGAGAAATAGAAAGCTCCACAACATGTTTTCGCAGGGCGTTTTTTAACTTAATACCTTCTTCTGTCTGCTTCATTGGGAAAACTGATAGTAAATTTGCAAAGGGAAGCCAAATATGAGTTTAAAGGTTCTACAGCATGGAGAACCCCACATGCCTGTCGAAAATTTATAGAAATAATTATCAGATAAGGTATTAATAGCATTCAGTGGCATAAAAAACAAAAGCTAATATTGCAAATCAGTTGTTGTTAACCACGATACAAAGAAAAGAAATAATTTACTTTTACCAGCCAAATAAAATTATCCATATCAGTAGGGATCTTAATTTCCAAGTTGAGTTGAGTTTAGCGATAAAAAACAAGAAAAAATTTGGCAGTCATGATCATAGTCTGAATCATTGTCAAGATTTAGTTCACCTGAGTGAATGCCTGATATCCCTTCAATATCTCCAGTATAATAGCCTCTCCTTGTGACCTTCCAAGTTGACTCCAGGTCAGATAGAATGGTATGTGTGTGTGTACAGAACATAGTATGAAAGTAAAACTCTACAAACCTTGACAAAATAAGAGACAAAGCATCAAGTATGGTCAACCACAAAGAATCAACCATTGAGATGCAAAGAACTGCAGTCTTCCCGGTGCACTTAGGCAAAGGATCATAGTCACATCTAGGGGATTCAAGCTGCAACCGAAAAAAGAAACAGATTTGATGAAAAGCATCCTAAAATATGATATGTTACCTAAAGAATTATAAGGAAAAGTATGCATATACCTCCCCTGCATCAACTGCTTCATCTGTCAATGTAGCTACAGTAAAGACAACACCCAACAAACCTTCAATTGCTAAAGTTATTGCATGGGCCTCACTAGCAACCAAGACCGCAGCATTGGACGCATCATTATCAAGGCTCCACTCAATCCCTGAAGGAATTACAAGCTGTAAATTTCTATGGTCATCAAGAATTGAGTTCGAGTCCAAAAAATAAGAAATGGTTAACAATTTATGCATTACAATTCAAACAAGAAGATTCGCCATGGCAGTGTATCCTGTCATCTCAAAAACAACTTTCGTTTTTTTCTCTTTTTTTAAAATAATTTTCAATATCCTATTCATGGACAATGAATAAAGGAAACAGACCAGTGAAACTAAATATTAATAAGACTTGCAGTTATAAGTTTAAGTCTAGAAAATTCAAGAAATAATTACCTTTAGCTTTGCTACTAAACATCCCTGCAACAGCTGCCAGGCTCTCCTCACTGGTCTCTTGAAACTGATTTATAGAACAATTTTATTTGGTAAGAAACACAGAATGTAAACTAATAAAAAATGTCAAAAGTTTTACACATATAACAAGACCAGACGTCCCCAAATAGAATCAACAAATTTTAGGGGTAAGAAAAGATAAAGGTATACAGAAAACAGCACATTAATTGAACAGTATATCAAACAAGGAAATAAAGTCACACTCAAATGTATTTATTTTAGTTACAATTTTAAATCTTCACAAGAAAAAAACAAAAAAAAAATGTTTTATTGAGTAGCAGTGGCTTGAGTGCAAAAAGTTCATCCATAGATTATAAAATTACAACTACCTACTCAACCAAGAGATGCAAAATCCTCTCTACCAACTAACTTAGTTTCATCTTTTTTCCTTTTTCTCCAAAGGGAATAGTTGTCTCTGCCCCTGAAATCTAATCATAAAAAAACTGGAGCAAGATAAGCTTGTGTTTAGATCCATGTGATAAGCACTTTAATTAAATTCAACTGTGCATGTAAGGGCTGCGTTGGAGTTCAAATATTACTGTCAGGTCTTTCCTATTAGCTTTGCTAAATGAAAGCCATAAGGCGTATAAATGGATGGAGACATGTATGCAATAGACAGATTGTTAGAGAGAGAAAAACTATACAGCAGGGGTACTAAAAAGTACATCCATTATACATACAAAACACAATATAAACTTAAAAAGTACATCCATTATACATACAAAACATAATGTCAAGAAACATAATAATATGGGTACTCAAAAGCTGCTATATCTGAGATCTTACACGTAGAGGCAGTCTGCAGGTATACTGGAAAGACCATCATTCATGATGACACGAAGGCTCTACAGCAGAACAGTTAGGTCAGATTAGATTTACAAAACAGACCCAACCACTATATATATATAGATATCACCATAAAAGAGAGAGAGAGAAGAAGGAGAAAGGGTAAATTCTGTATTTCCAGAGAAAATCTCAGTAAGGTCTTACTGACCTGGAATCCCAAGGTGACAAGGTCCTTCTCCGATGCATCCGCAACAGACCTAAAAGAAAGAAAAGAAACAAGGAGACTCAAAAAAAATAAAAATAAAAATAAAAAAAATAAGAAAATACACCATAGGTAGTCATCCTTCAACCTCCCCACTCTTACAAGCAAAAAACCTGTAAAAAATATAATCATGTGAACGACAAACCTCAACATTTCAAGTATATTTGACCAACTATAGTGCAATTTTTCTCCACATCTCTGCAGGGAAAAAGGAGAAGAAATAATGTAAGTGCAGGTTGAGAATCAAGAGATTAAAATGAAATTTATATACAATCAGTGCATATTACCTCCAAAATATGCAGAAGAATTTTCAAGGTTCCAGCTCGGACATCAGTGCTTTGAGTAGAAAAATAAAGAACCCTTAGTGGAGATATAACAGCACACTCAAGCGATCTCAACTCTGCCTGCATCGTTTCAACCTACAGAAAGAGAGAGAGCAGAATCAACACCTACTGTCTAAAGAATATGGGGCCTTCCATCCACAAAAAAAGGTGAAAGTTCTCACTTCTTTAGAGGGGCCATGAGATAGCGCATTATTCTGGAACTGTTCCGAACCTAACACTGCACATATCGATTGATCTAGTGCATCAAGTGCTATATTTCGTAAATGGTGACTAGAATTATCAGCAAGCTGCATCATTTTACTCTGACGTCAAGAAAAATTAAATGGCACTAGCATTTTGCATAATAGTATAAATATAGATTATGATCACCTCAAGAAAGTGGCCAACAACTTCATCCCACAAAGGCTCTACCCCTGCAATAGGAGGATTGCAGAATGAAGCAAACAAGAAAATATTAACTCAGACCATAACAAGCTTATATGACATTATACCAAACCTATATATAATAATAACATATATAAATACTAAATTTAATACAATTATATTTCAATAAACTTGTGCACAATCAATCACACAACATACTGTGAAGATTATTGACAAGGACAGATATCATTCTGTCCACTGAAAAGCTGATGCTTCCAATTTTTTGAGTTGATGTTGGTCCAAAACTACTTGAAGTTGAAACCATGCATTGATGTGACAGCTGCCGTAGTGCAGAGAGTAGGGCTTTAACTGCAGATATGTGCATCAATGCTGAGCTCTCAAACAGCTTCACAGACCAACAAAAAACACTAAGGTTAGAACGTTATGCTCATATTGGAGTATAACACATGCAATTTTTATAGCAAAAAAAATAAAGTGCCTTTATGTTGTAAAGAACAGGAAGCATGCAAATGATGCAGAAACGCATTTGGAAAGTTCTTTGACAAGTTAATTCTGAGAAAGGTTCTGAAAACCATGAATTTCCAAACATTATAGTGAACAATTTCTTCCTAACAGAAGGGACCAACACAGGGAAAACATTATATTGAGCTTCATTCTGAAAGGATTTGCACAAACATAGAACAGCTTCTACTTGTTCGTTACCAAACAAAACTAAAACTACTTATACTACCTGAGAATTCAAAGAAGAGAGAATATTGAAGTCGCTGTAGTGGCCCGAAGATTCCCGTGTAAGCTTCGCTGTGGAGACTTCCTATAGATATAAAAACACTATAATTGTAGACTTTTATGACAATACTATCCAAAAGCCTGTTTAGTCATTTGTATGTTTACATATAACATGCATAAAATCTTTACAAGGGAATCATCATTCTAGTAAGGATAGATTTAATCCAACCTGCAGAACACTCTTTTGGGAAGCTGTTTCTAGAAATTACCTGTGTGGTGGCATGAGGAGAATGGATAGCTCGGTCCAGAGCAGCCAAGGTTTCCAATACCTATGTTTATTTGCAAGAACAATTTTAAGTGCTGAACTTTGTCTACTTTAGAGACAATTGTTAAGAGTAAGCAAACATACCAAAACCCAAGATGGACCTAATACATTGTGTAATCGATGAGCAATATTGAAGAGAGTCCTTAAGGCCTGATTTGCAATAATAATCAGAATTACCAGACATCCAGAATAGATCCATTCCAATAAGTAAAAAGATAGCAGAATATGATCAAAAAACCAAACTCAATACCTGCACATTTTTGGGAGTAAGGACAATGTTATCCTTCTGATCTACCAATGATTCTGATCGCTTTGGCCCAGGAGATTGTGACAAACTACTGAAATCTCAAGTTTAAGCCAGAATTCAGCATAGTTAAATCAATAAATTTTTTAAATTTCAATGACCAAGGAAGCAAATTCTTAGAGAAATAGAAAGCTCCACAACATGTTTTCGCAGGGCGTTTTTTAACTTAATACCTTCTTCTGTCTGCTTCATTGGGAAAACTGATAGTAAATTTGCAAAGGGAAGCCAAATATGAGTTTAAAGGTTCTACGGCATGGAGAACCCCACATGCCTGTCGAAAATTTATAGAAATAATTATCAGATAAGGTATTAATAGCATTCAGTGGCATAAAAAACAAAAGCTAATATTGCAAATCAGTTGTTGTTAACCACGATACAAAGAAAAGAAATAATTTACTTTTAACAGCCAAATAAAATTATCCATATCAGTAGGGATCTTAATTTCCAAGTTGAGTTGAGTTTAGAGATAAAAAACAACAAAAAATTTGGCAGTCATGATCATAGTCTGAATCATTGTCAAGATTTAGGTCACCTGAGTGAATGCCTGGTATCCCTTCAATATCTCCAGTATAATAGCCTCTCCTTGTGACCTTCCAAGTTGACTCCAGGTCAGATAGAATGGTATGTGTGTGTGTACAGAACATAGTATGAAAGTAAAACTCTACAAACCTTGACAAAATAAGAGACAAAGCATCAAGTATGGTCAACCACAAAGAATCAACCATTGAGATGCAAAGAACTGCAGTCTTCCCGGTGCACTTAGGCAAAGGATCATAGTCACATCTAGGGGATTCAAGCTGCAACCGAAAAAAGAAACAGATTTGATGAAAAGCATCCTAAAATATGATATGTTACCTAAAGAATTATAAGGAAAAGTATGCATATACCTCCCCTGCATCAACTGCTTCATCTGTCAATGTAGCTACAGTAAAGACAACACCCAACAAACCTTCAATTGCTAAAGTTATTGCATGGGCCTCACTAGCAACCAAGACCGCAGCATTGGACGCATCATTATCAAGGCTCCACTCAATCCCTGAAGGAATTACAAGCTGTAAATTTCTATGGTCATCAAGAATTGAGTTCGAGTCCAAAAAATAAGAAATGGTTAACAATTTATGCATTACAATTCAAACAAGAAGATTCGCCATGGCAGTGTATCCTGTCATCTCAAAAACAACTTTCGTTTTTTTCTCTTTTTTTAAAATAATTTTCAATATCCTATTCATGGACAATGACTAAAGGAAACAGACCAGTGAAACTAAATATTAATAAGACTTGCAGTTATAAGTTTAAGTCTAGAAAATTCAAGAAATAATTACCTTTAGCTTTGCTACTAAACATCCCTGCAACAGCTGCCAGGCTCTCCTCACTGGTCTCTTGAAACTGATTTATAGAACAATTTTATTTGGTAAGAAACACAGAATGTAAACTAATAAAAAATGTCAAAAGTTTTACACATATAACAAGACCAGACGTCCCCAAACAGAATCAACAAATTTTAGGGGTAAGAAAAGATAAAAGTATACAGAAAACAGCACATTAATTGAACAGTATATCAAACAAGGAAATAAAGTCACACTCAAATGTATTTATTTTAGTTACAATTTTAAATCTTCACAAAAAAAAAAAATGTTTTATTGAGTAGCAGTGGCTTGAGTGCAAAAAGTTCATCCATAGATTATAAAATTACAACTACCTACTCAACCAAGAGATGCAAAATCCTCTCTACCAACTAACTTAGTTTCATCTTTTTTCCTTTTTCTCCAAAGGGAATAGTTGTCTCTGCCCCTGAAATCTAATCATCATGCAACACATGATCTAAGGGTTTACTTTAACAAAATAAGGAAAACAGAAAAGACATCTTACACAATAAATGAAAATAAAACCAAATCAAAGGTGCATCTTAGACCAGATGGAGCACTAAATCTTCAAACAAGGAACACACTAGCAACTAGCATACAAGGAACAAGATCCTAAACAATCAGAATCCACCAAGATTGGCAGTCCAGAAAGTGCTTTCAGAGAGGAACAAGAACACCAAAACCTATTAACAAGAAAGGATATGTCATATTGGAAAATATTATACTACAACCTACAGCATCATAACCATGTCATCGAGCTCTCAACTTTGTATGTTGCAGGTCAGATCAACAATGGAAGTGTAAATACTAAAATGCAGATCATATTTTTAATATCAAGAAACTGTAAAACATGCAATAATATAGGGCCCCTTTGGTTCACTATTATTATCCTATCCTATTCCATTATCCTATCCTAAAAACCCAAAAATGCATTTGTTTCAATATTCTCAAAATCCAATTCTACTTTATTCAACTCTCAAAACATTAATAATTACCTTTCTCGTAAAGATAACCTAACTTTACTTTTTCCAAAATACTTTTCTAAAAAACATCAGAATAGTAAACCAAATGGAGCCAAAATGCCTCCACAAAAGGACTATAAACTATGACCTATTACTAAGGCAAGGATGTGTGATGCACAAACACACACTGCTAAAACTATATCAACCTCTGCCAAAGCAAACACAGAAATAACAATAAGGCTAGAAGAAATGAATATAAGCAGAAACATAATTCAACCTGTACACTTGAAACAACTCGAGCAAGAGCTTTGACCATACCCTCCACAACATTTGTGTTCTTGGGATGCCTACAAGGTAGATGGAAAACATTTTTAAACATCTTATAACTAGATCACAAAAGTTAACTTCATTTCAGAATGAAGAATTTAATCAAAGCCAAAATTGACCAAGAGATTAGCAAACTGCAGCAGCAATGAAATAAGTAGCACATAAAACCCAACTCTTCAATTCTGAGTGCAACTTAATTTAATATATATAACCATAAATTTAGGTGATAAGAAAATGCAGATCATCCATCNGGCTAGAAGAAATGAATATAAGCAGAAACATAATTCAACCTGTACACTTGAAACAACTCGAGCAAGAGCTTTGACCATACCCTCCACAACATTTGTGTTCTTGGGATGCCTACAAGGTAGATGGAAAACATTTTTAAACATCTTATAACTAGATCACAAAAGTTAACTTCATTTCAGAATGAAGAATTTAATCAAAGCCAAAATTGACCAAGAGATTAGCAAACTGCAGCCGCAATGAAATAAGTAACACATAAAACCCAACTCTTCAATTCTGAGTGCAACTTAATTTAATATATATAACCATAAATTTAGGTGATAAGAAAATGCAGATCATCCATCATATCCTCTATAGCATGAAGTAAATAGTGCAAGTCATATCATCAAAATCCTCCAATTCATCATTTAAAAGTAACTTTACCTTGTCACATACACATCTTTGCTATACTTTCTAAATTGAATTTTTTTTTTAAGTCTTGACACACTATACAGCTCTTAAGAAGTCATATGCAGATTTCTTTACATTCAAGTTGCTCCTGAAGCTCTTATCTTAACCTTGTTTGGGTAACAATTCAAGAAAAATTGAATTGGGATCTCTTCCACAAGGACAGTCTAAACCAGAGGCCATTGCAACCCTCAATAATTTCAGTTCCAAAAGGATATTCTTTAAGTTAAATTTAAATGTCCTTTCAAAGAAGATCTTTGGAACTGAATTGTTAAGATGACTGTAAAATAAACAGGTCTGGGAAAGAGTATAAGGATTAGACAGTCCAGAATACTTCTCAACGAGCTGCAGTTCTTATGCTGCTGACCATGCTACATCAGTTTAGGTATTTCTCTAGTAACACAGCAACTATTTACAAGTTTGTGAAAGCACTTATTTCTAAGGCTAGAGCTTTCTACCCTTTTATATTGCCTGAGTCAAATAAATATTTAAAGCAGAATGGTGCTAACAAAAAGACTTCATGTCCATAAGCTGGTTAGATAATTTTATAATTACTAAATACTCAAAGGGCTTACTGTTCAACGCTGTTTATTTTTCATTTTGTTCCGCTAATCTAATGAAGTATTACATTGTTTGCAGAAGAGAAAGGGAAAACTTTACAAGAAAGTGTGCCACATATGGTAAAAAAGTAAACATTCATTCCAGAGCCAGCAAACTTACATATCAAAGTTCTGGAAAAGAATTCGCAATGTTCGTGCCTCCACACAAAATCCCTGTAAAGCTCCAACAACTCTTTTTTCACATAAAAATTTGGGAAACTAAAACTAATATTTCTAGGGAAGCTACTGAATAATCACTCTTAGTTTTCTATGAACAATAATGAAGAACAGTTAAGATAGCAGCAACTAGATTGTTCAGATTACCCTTAAGACCTCAAGAACTAGAATGCGATGCCACAATGGCAGATCAAGAAAAGTAACCTTCACTAACATACTAAGGAAAACCTGCATAAGAAAATAACTGTTGTTGAATTAGTAATGGAATAACACATGAAGCAGCATTATGTTGAACAGAACAACAAGGATAAGAGTCCCAGAATTATATCCTGATCCAAAACTAGAAGACTTAAACTCAATAATAAACAATAAATGTGGCTCTATAACACAGTATCAGAAAGCTGTCAATAGAAAAAGCAAATGCCACACTATAGAAATATAAGCTACCTTATTTGATTCCGAAGTTTAGCAAATTTGGAGGCAGACCTATTGTTCACAAGAGGAGTATGTATAATGTATGTATGTATATAACATAAAACAACAATTTTTCCTTGTTATAATTATATCCTTTTTTAGATTCTATCTTGTTTTGCCCCTTTGCACCATGTTCTACAGAAAACAGTGTGACTAAGATCATATTCTGCTCAGCAGTGGAGGAAATTTCTATCAATACCCCCTAATTGTTGCTCAATGTAAAAGAGGAGAGGGACCATACTCAAACTATGAGGACTACTACCACTGAACCAGGAAAAGAAAAGACCACCACAAAGAATGTTCATGAGATCATTTTTTTGAGACTACAAAGACCCTCATCTTTCCACACCTCCTGAGTCATTCCTTGTCTCCACAGAAACAAGCCAAAAAGAATTAATTAACTAGTGCACATCAAACAGATGCCATAGCAGGGCATCTAATTTCCTTTATGTCCCAGTATTAATTGTTAGAGCCGTTAACAAATATCATAAATCATGTCAGCAGTGAATGCATAGAGCCATTGGCTACCACATTTTCTTAGAAGAGTCCATGTTGGAGAACAATCTATGGCAACATCCTTCTCAATTAAGAAACGTCTTGAAACGTAGCATAAACATTCAAGCATTTTTAGTTAACTAGGAGCCACAATGCAACTTATAAGAGGGTAAAATCAGTCTGAATTTGCATTGTAACCTTCTTCTCACTTTGTAGGAAAAGAAAAGAAAAATATTTAAAAAAAAAAAAAAAAAAGCCCACACTCAAACTGGACCATGTCAGCTAGAATATAAACAAAATAATGTGATTTATGCAGTTTGATAAATACCATTTAGAAAAATAGTATCATTTACAATAATTTAGAAAAACAAAATCAAATAACACCATTTCTGATAATTTAGAAAAATAATATGATGCGAATCAACCAAAAACAATCCAGTAAAACATTCCAATAATCATCACACAAACAAGAGTATTCAGAATTGACTGAAATGTATTGATATATTGATGAACAGAGCACAATTCACAAGAATTTAAGATAGTGATAATAAGGAAAACAGTAAAATTAAGGGTACTAGCAGTTCGAGGAGCTAGTGACCTCCCAAAAGATAACCCAAAATTACTGATCCCTTTTACATGGTTTTTAGAATCCACGTGGCAGATTTCCTTTTAACTAACTCCTCTCTCAATTCCCCTTACTGCCCCTTCCTTGCTTCTTGTTGTAAATCTGGGTTATAGGAGGTCTATCATAATATAATCTCTAGAATCTTTAATGAAGCAAACAACTTTCAAGCTTAAGGACTAAATGACAAAAACCTAAATAATAAACTCAGAAGTTAAGAATACAGAAATATTAAAGCAATGCATTCGCTTTTTTCCTAAAACTCTGTCAAATGTCAATTAAAGGGTGAAAGTACAAAGACAATTAAACATACCTCACATTCAGTAATAAGTGATGAACTGTAAAGCCTGATAATATGAGCAACTGACCGCAAGACCAGACGTCGAAAATAAGGCTCCCCTGCTTCCCCTTCAACCTGAAGAAAATTAAATACAACATAGCTTACATAAACAACCCAATGAACGATAGAGGTAATCTGCATTATATATTTATCAATAAGTTACCTCAGCATTGGTCCTCAGTGAAGTCATTATAAGAGAACAAATCTGGTGACGTAGAACCTGTAGAATTTCCACAAAAACTTTACAACTATAAAAGTTTTACTAGCTTGCTTATACAAAATGTAAAAGAACTGTCATAGTCACAAATTTATGTAATCACCTGTTCGTAGGAAACTAACATTCTGAAAGCAAACACATAATTGGAGAGAACGAACCTGCCAAATGCAAGCATTGAGAAATACGTAAATATCTATTCGAACACCATAATTGAATTAGGCAGCAGAACACCTAAAAAGAACAAACGTAATCCTTGAATTTCACCTATCATGGCATTAATAACAGAACACAATCACCCAAATAGTCTGTTTTGTGAACAGCTAATTTTCTTCAAAAGTAAAAATGTACCTAAACCTACTAGTCTATAAAGCCCTTCTTAATGGGAAGGAGTTTTGGGTAAATTTTTTAATATTTTAATCAGGGAGGATTTGATATCTATTGTAAGTAACACAGGTTTTTTTGGCCTGTCTTTGTATAGGGTAAATGGTCTTCCTCAGACATTTTTCTTCAATGTAGTATGCCAGTCCATACTTGCATCTCCTTTAGATCATTACTAATGCAACATCTTCAGTTTCATATCAAAAAATTAATTTAACGAAGATAATGGAAGAAGCAAACAAATATGCAAGAAAGAGTAGTTAACGAAGCAAGATTTAAACTTCCATATGATGATTATACCTCTTTAGTTTCACCACAGCCATTTTTCTGGCAAGTATCTTGCATTTATTTATTTTTAAATCATTATTATAAGAAACTATATATTTTGTATTAATCATGAAAATGAAATGATGTTACCTAAATGGCATAGGAGACCACTATGAGAACAAAAACCAACGGAGGTTAACTGCCAATCCAAAGACATCTAGAACAACCATGTGAAGTAGCACCTCAAACAAAAATTATGTCTACACAAATTAACAAGTACTTCTTCCCAGTTAAGATGCATCAAAGAAAAAAGAAAACTCTTGGAACCAGTTCCTAAATTTCTGTCACAATCTCTTGCATCGGCAAATGACAAGTAAATTAAAAGTAAAATTTAAGTGATAAAAAAGATTTCTCACTCAAGTATATCCAGCGCAAATGTTCGTTGAAGAGAATTGACATGTAACCAAGTTGCCTGTAAGGTAAAAGCAACATGTTATTGGTCAATATGAAATAGAGGGGAAAACTAAGGGTTTGTTTGATATAGAAGTTAAATAGAGTTTTTCGTTTCCGGAAACAAGAGAAACAAGAAATAATATGAGTATGTGTTTGATTGAAATGGGGTGGAATATCTATTAAAACAATTTTAGCATACAATCCTAAAAACTAATGTGAAATCATAAAACAAAAAAAGTCATTTTCTCAGTTTTTTGTAGCTTTTAACCTAAAAATGGATTTTGAAAAATATATCAAACACATTTTCAAATATTAAAAATATAAAGATACAACTAAATTATTTTGAATTGTATCTTAGTTTTTTTGAAATTGTTTTCTCGTTACAAACCAAGCACGCACAAAAAACTCAAAAATAATCCATAACGATGAAATCACAATTAATATCCAGCTAACACCATTTAATAGTTTCAATTTAGAACATACAGATCCACCTGCAGCAAGAGCTGTCAGGTCTTCAAGCAATCGAAGCCCAATCTTTCCAACATTCGTTTGGGTCTCCCTCATCAATGATGGCCCTCCAGAAGTAAATTCATGATCCAATGACCTGTTCAAGCTTAAGTAAGATAAATTGATGTACTTGATTGCACATCATTGAGGCAACCTACAAATTTTAACATATAGTATAACATACTAATAAGATAATCATGCATAAAAGTTCATACATGTAGGCATGCACATATTCCTTAATATTGAGTAGACAACACACAGTAGCACAAAAGTTTAAGAATAGACTCAGAAAAATCATACTCTGAATGATTCATACTGCGATTAACATCGCCAGTAACTGAACTGGTTCGAGAGAGGTGACCTCCAGAACCAAACTTCCCCACAGGAAGAGACTCAACTTGAACCACATGATCAAAAATCAAGGCTACTGCTTGTCTGAAGGTAGCTGCAGCAGTACTGGAAAAATTATGAAAGAGATTAGAGTGAGGTAACATCTCTATAATAATGCCAAAGATGATTAAATATGCAGTATTAGAAGAAACAGTCAATTAAGTATACTGTAATCCAAGAATTTAACATACTTCCGCACACTGTCAGAAGATCTGCTGTTTTCAAGAAGCCGAAGACAGATACCAAGTGCTTGAGCCATATTGTCCTGAAATTAATAGAATGGGCAACAGAACAAGTCAACAAAACTTGAAACAAGAAGTAAAAATGCAAAGCATGGAACAGGAAATGTAACCGTGTAACCAGTATGCTTTAATTATTTAGGGCGGATATACACCTCACAAAGCAACATCTCATTGGATGTTCATGCAAAGGAACAAGCAAGGAATTTGTAAATGCTAACTATGTTGAGCCACTTGTGCCCTGTAAACAATGTGTTCACAACTAAATTTGGGAAGATTGTCATCTCAGGTTCATCTTGTAGATTACAGGTGAAATGCCATTAATCTGCCACCTTTGTTTAGCATTGTCAAATCAAATTGGCTACATAACTAATGTGATTGAAATGGTTTTAGAGGCCAGGAAATGCCAAAAAATTTATACAAGATTCTATAAGTCTAAATGCTACTAGCCTCAACCATCCTTTCTTTCTTTGTTTTTTAATCGTGAATAATCATGCTATATATCTAGCTATTTTCTACTTCCAGAAGATTCATCATAAATCATCTTGCCAGTAATCTGCCACCTTTGTTTTGCTCAACATATACCCCATGATCCACAAGTTGATATGAGATTCGAGAACTCTAGCTTAACCATATGGCTAACAATCACAAATGAATCAAAAATGCTGCAAGACATTCCAAGGAGCTACCACGTTCTTCACTAAAAATATTTTAGTTTTAATAACCTTAATTCCCATCTGCTTATAGGCTACTACAACAGCGATACACTTAGCAGACACGTCTAGTTAACACTAAATGAAAATAAACTTATGATCAATAGCTACCTCATTTTCAGGAAATAAACGTGATTGAAATATTATCAATATCGTCTGCAAAGTCTTCAGTTGAACACTCTCATCTGCCATTTCAGCATGCTGCGAGGAAGAGACTACATGTAAGATTTCAAGAGCAGATGCCTAAATTTCATTTAAGTAATAAATTGTCATGACAGACATGCAAGCACCATTTCTTCTAAACGGCACAAAATTTTATATAGATGGCGACAAAGAATATTTCACATTAGAGCGAAAAGGCTGGAGATCTCTAATTAAACTCACAACGTAGCATAATAAACCCAATTAATAAATCATGCCAGCTCCACATCAACATTCCGAAAAAAGGCAATAAACTTACATTTTTTAACGTAGAAAAAATCTCCTTTAGAGCCGACTGAGAAACCGCATCATGAGATATAAGCTTCTGTATACAAGAAAGTCCAATAACACTAAGTTTCACGGTTCTAACTTCACAAGCCATTAAAAAAATCCGTAGTATATCTTCATTCTGCGCCAGCTCACTTGGACTCGACACTGATCGAAGCTGCAATGTTGTATACACCACGAAACACAACATACAACGTCACATTGATATTCAAATTACAATACCATCGAAATTTTATTCAATTTTGAAAGTAAATCTAAAATCAAGTCAATTTAGTCACGTGCAGTTACGCAGCTGAGACAAGAGTAGGTAATTCAGTGATATTTAAAAAGAAAAGTGAATTGAGACCTTTAATATAGCGTGTTCTGCGCCGTCCTTGACGGCTGGATAGCGACGGCGAGCTTCGGCGGAAAGAGCGCGAAGATCAGATTCAAGAACGGCCATCAAAGCCATGGCTGAAGTTGAAGCTCTCTCAGATCTCGTGAGAGAGAAAATTGTTGAGTTGGATCTTGTGCCGAGCGCCCGAGGGAGAGGGAGAGGGAGAGGGCAGGGGATCTGCTGGGAGATGGGAGGGTGCGAGGCACGTGCGAGGACATGTGTGAAAATGAGAGACGAGGCATTAGTTGGTGGGCTTATATGTTGTAGCCCATTTTAAAATGATCTTGGGCTTGTAATGTTTTGGGTTCGGCTCTCTGGATTACTTCAAGAATCGATGCTTCAAGTCGATTTCTTTTTCTTACTTATTTGATTAGGGTTAACTGCAACAATCAGGGATATCAAAAAAATCAATAGATTATATATATGGATTTTATTCAAATGGATTGGACAATATTCCATCCAAATTTAAAACAATAAAAATTGACTCACAACTCAATCTTATAAATTTTCTCTCATAATTCGAACGTGACAACTTATAATTGGTCAACTCGTAATTTGATAAGCGGGATTCTGACCAATTGTAAATTGTCATGTCAAGATTGTAAAAGAAAATTTGCCTGATTGGGTTATAAATGTAAGATTGCCCAATTTAAAATGGATAATTATATTCTATTCATAATTATTCAAATAGATTGGATTGGATTATAGATGTCTAATATTAGGGTGTGTTTGTTTTACTATTCCTATCATATCCTATTTAAAGTACATGTTTGTTTCACTATTCTCAAAATACAATCATATTCTATTCAACCAAAAATATTTAGATTTTTTTAACCACTGGGCTTGTTAATTCAACCAAACACCCCTAACAATAAAAGTTTATAAATTGACAAAAACACTCTCACCCACCCACATATTCCACCGGCTACCGTCATTTAATGGGTGGATGAGAGTGTTTTTGTTAATTTTAAAACTTTTATTGTAGAGGATGTTTAACTAAATTAACAAATATAGAGAATTAAAAAATAATCTTACCAAAAATATTTTCAAATTCAAATCATATCCTCATAATAATAACTCAACTCAACTTTTTCAAAAATACTACTCAAAATAATTAAACAAACACACCGTAAATCATTTATCTACACCTTATAATTAGTTTGGGATTGATACATGTTTTAAATACATTTTATTTTTAATATATTTTTATATCAAAATGTGTATTTTGATAAGTATTTAAAAATGGATTAAAATTATCTAAATTAAATATAGTATTAATTAATTAATCATTTAAAAAAAATAAAAACATTGGATCTAACCGCCAGTCAACATAAGTCAAAAATCATTGACTAACGATCAACGATGGCGCGTTGCAGACACAGTCAATCCCTTCGGGACTTTTAACTCCCAATCTATAGGAATCTAATTGACTGGCGGTTTTACCACTAGTGATCATAGTAACCATTTCTATTTATATATTTTGTAATTTATCATTTATTAAGTGTTGATTTAAGTTTACTTTGTAATTTGAGGAATTATGTATAGGTATATTTGTCAATTTACAATGCACATTGCAAATCCATAATCCAATCAATTATCCGCTAAATTCACTCCAATCCAATCCATTTGTAGAGCTAAGATTGGATAGAACTTTATGTGGGAAGTCATCAGTAACAATAACCCTTGATTTTATTTTGGTATATAAATACCGGAAAATACTACACCCACAATATTTTCTAATAAATTTTTTCTCACAATCTTAATTAGTCAGTTTGCAATAAGTCTCATCTGACCACTTGGGTCCTAATTGATAAATTACAACTGATCAATTACAAGTTGTCAGATTATGGTTGTGAAATAAAATTTGTGAAAAAATATTGTGGGTGTAGTATTACACATAAATACCACTTTGTTGTTTCAAAAAATTATTTAGATACATTTCGTCAATTTCCGTTATCACTTCTATCCAAAAAAACAATCCATAGTGACATTTTTACCCCTAAAATTTGACTTAGTCTTACCATTTACAAAGGCAAAAAATTAGGATTAACTTTTTACCTTTTTTTCCCTCCATAACCCACTGTCAAACAAACACATTTTTTCAAAAGTCATGATCACCCTTCCACTTTATAACAAATTGATTGTTTGGAAAAATAATTTTTAATCATAGTCAAATAGAATTAGACTTGGGTTAGGATAAANTAGTGACATTTTTACCCCTAAAATTTGACTTAGTCTTACCATTTACAAAGGCAAAAAATTAGGATTAACTTTTTACCTTTTTTTCCCTCCATAACCCACTGTCAAACAAACACATTTTTTCAAAAGTCATGATCACCCTTCCACTTTATAACAAATTGATTGTTTGGAAAAATAATTTTTAATCATAGTTAAATAGAATTAGACTTGGGTTAGGATAAAACGAAAGTTTTAGTCCTATTAGATTTAAGAAAAACTAAATCATTTGAGTTCAGGTTAGAAGAAACCTATAAATACCTAGTGAATCCTAGAGAATAACTAAAAGAAGCTCATGAGGTTAGTAAAAATTCTGAAGTCTTTGTATTCAATTATCATCGAATCACAAAATATATGGTACTTGAATAGTAGTAGCAGCAATCATATGGCTAGAAATCGTGACATGTTCATAGAGTTTGATCAAATTTTTTATTTTGAAATAAAATTTGGTGACGGAAAGCCACAAACTATTGTGGGAAAAGGTTAAGTGTATAATAGCTCTAACAAAAGTATAATGGGAAAGTAAACGACGCAGCAACAGGGATTAGACATGCAAACAACATGCTAAAGGATGTTGAATCTCCTCATCTTGAAGGTTTTGTTTGATCCACCAAATTGAAGCCATAAGAATTCCAGAAGATCAGAAAAAGTGAAGATAATGGGTAGTAAAACTAATCCAGCAATTCAGATTGAGTTGCTTCACATGCTGTTTTGGAAAGCATCCTAATTCACACCAATACCAAACAGGGTGAGGGGAAAAAGGAAGAGCATGCTTAGATTCCAGGGCTATCAAAATAGACTTTTATTAGAACAATGCCACAAATACAACGGAAAGATACAAAAGCCGGCAGCTACCATCCTTATTATGGACAACTAACAAAAGTTGTCGAAAACAACTTTTCGGACCTCTGATTCATCCACTTTTATTTTGTATCAACATGTTTGTTCTAGGTCACAATACAAAATACAAGGAAGATTGTCCTTGTTTCAGGTAGTGGAGATCAAAGGGTAGATAATACTTTCTACACTTGAGTATCATCTCAATCAATGGTCATTGATTCTGCTTCACGCCTAATGGAGTCAAACAGCGCTGTAGATAGATAACGCTCTCCAGCACTGGGGAAAACAATCTGCGCAGATAGCCAAAGAAATGGCACGGTTTAGTAGTTAGTACAGATTATGAACGGAGCAACAAATTTTTGCCATTGGCAGTTTAGCACACCTGAGACCATGCCTGTTTATCTAGTCATACTTCATTAATGCCTAACAAATAAGGGACACTAGTCATACTGCCTAACAAATAAGGGACACTAGTCATACTTCAATGTGATTTCACTTCCTCTTTTAGTTTCACAGAAGGGATGAAATGAAAAATGATAGTGTGTTAAATGTGTGGCATGTCTGAGTGGTCAGTTGAACCACGTTGAAGGGATTCAGAAGTACAGTTTAAACTAAGCAACATATTACTAAATCTGATATACCATATGATGTCTTATATCAACTAAAGATGATTAAACTTACAACAAAGAGTTTCCCAGCATTTTCAGGCCTCTTTGCCAACCGTATAGCAACAGCTGCAGCAGCACCGGATGATATCCCAACCTGCACCAAAGAAAGATATCGCTGTCAGCCTAAAAATGAGAAGACCCACAAAAGAGTGTTGTAACTTAAAAATAATCTTAAAACTGGGAACGTACCAGTAAACCTTCTTTCTGAGCAAGCAGCTTAGCTGTTTCTATAGCTTCCTCGCTTGATACCTAAAAAGAAGTTACAGCGACAGCAGAAGTCGATGAAATAGAATCTATCTATGCTGTAGTTGTAGTTGTAGTTACCATTGATAAAATCATAGGTATTGCCACAAAAACAAAGTAGCAGCCATAATTAACATTTAATATTTATAAGAATCAGAAAAATATATATTCCAGAGTGCATATTTTGCTCCAATATTCTAAGTGTTTCACCACAAGGACTTGAATTTTACTTTATAATGTATCAAGAAAGCACAGCCTTCAGTCTTCAGTTTTTTTAAATTCCTCATCCCTTGTTATCAGGAAAACAGGTAATTTAACAATCACAAACAATTGCACATGTTTCATGAATCATACCCTGAACAATCTATACCAAGAGTGAAGAAAAAAAAAATGCCCTAAAACCATCTCAAATAATTTGTAGGATCCGTATAAGCTAGGAAACTATAATACCTAGAAGTGATATAAATTATTCAAAACCACTTTCAACTTAAACAAAGTGACCCCCTCAAAATCACAACCCAATTTCCAAAAGCTTCACACCCAGAATTTGCTTCTGTATCTAAATCCTGCTATTTTTCAATCACAAGACTGGAGAGTAGAGACCTTTATATTTACTTTTCATGTATGAGGGAATCTAATTGTAGGTGTTTTCTCTCAAAATAAAAAACAAACAACATAAACGTAGCATTAGCAGATAAAATTTTACATGCCAATTCAAAGTAAATAACCTAAAACATAGTTTTAAGACTTACTGTAATAACTTCATCAAGTATGTTGACATCCAAAGTACCAGGGATGATACCAGCACCTATACCCTGGATCAGATGTTTGCCTATAACATACAGCACACGAGGTACACTATTAGGAAATAATTTTGAGAATATTGCTCAGCTCAGAAAGATTTAGATGCAAACTCAACAAGAGTTAGCGTTGAACATAACCCCCAAATTTAAGGCACTAAAGCTACACCTCTTGTGCTAGAAGTTAATGCATGAGTTCTAGCCATGGTACACTTGGAGCCTAATGACATGTTTAACTGTTGAAGGTAAAATGTTTACCACTTGATATTCCAAGAGAAAATGATATACAGACCAATGAAGACCTAAAGAGTGGCACATGCACAATGCGCTAATGCAACACATCTTTCAAATCCACATGAAATATAAATCTGTCAAATTAGCAAGGATGCAACAGCACACTTCTTCCATATGCAACACCATCATCTACCAGTGTAGAAGAGGAGGGAAAAAGAAAGTTAATTCACCAAGTGGTCCTCCAGTCAAGATTGCATTTTCGGATGGCTCTACTCCGTATACCTAAACGGGAATTATGATAGCATACGATTAGCATAAATAATCAGAACATTAGCTTTCTTCACTATCTTTTACACACACACATAGAGCCTCAAATAATTTCCTCAAGACAACCTTAATACTTGGGTTCTTCTCTTTGAGGAATTGCCCAGCACCAGATATTGTACCACCGGTCCCTATCCCTGCAATAAGGGCATCAACTTTCTCTCCTGAGTCTTTCCATATCTCTGGTCCAGTGGTCTCATAATGAATCTACACAAATGATGATGAATGCATTCATAACTCCTTTTGGAATAGCAACCTAGAATATTAACAAAAAGAATACCTTAGGATTGGCAGGATTTTCAAATTGCTGAAGCACAAAACCATTTGGAGTGTTATTTAGTATCTCATCGGCTTTTTTCACAATCCCTTCAAAGCCTATTGCTGGATCAACAAGATGTATCTCAGCTCCAAAAGCTCGCAGCACGATTCTTCTCTCGATACTATACGTTGATGGCATTATAATGATAATTTTGTAGCCTCTTGCTGCTGCAATGGAGGCCAATCCAATGCCCGTGTTACCACTGGTAATCTCTATGAGGACAGTCTTCATCCATAAAGGAAATTTGTTAATTCAGATATCAACAGTACCATTATGTTTATGTTATCTGAGGTTCTGCTGAGGTTTACCCAAAAGTAATATATTATCAGAGAAAAAATAGTTTGAGCCAATGTTGCTAACAACCAATGTAACTATGCATAATCTTAAGCAGTGGGTGAAGTTAATTTACAAAGTTGACAGAAAATGAAATAATTAAAAATGGAGTATTTCACTGCATACCTTTCCTGGCATAATTAAGCCCTTATCCTCTGCATCTTTGATCATACTAAATGCAATCCTTTATGCCAAACATTGAAAACCCAATGAATTTCCCATATCGATTTGCACACAGGTATGACAAATATTTCAATCAATGGAGTCACAGAAATGGAAATAACTTAAATACCTATCTTTGACACTAGCACAGGGTTCCATTGTCTCTAGCTTGGCAGCAATATGGGCTACACAACCATCCACAACATTGTTGAGATACACCATCGGTGTATTGCCTATCAACTGACCAACCCCACACACACCCGCATCAGAAACAAGATTACTGTACTAAAGACAAGACACACTGTAGAAACTTAAGTTATTGTGAAGAGAAATTACTTCAGTAACATCTTTCTTGATTGCGCACTTGTTCTCCATGGAGCTACTTTATCAAACACTACAAAACATTGGGCAAACAGCACAGGATGTAATTTCTTTGAGCAGAGTTAAATACTTTCTCAACATCAAGACTTAAAAAAATGTATTATGACACAACTCAAAGCAATCAAATGTTCTTTTGTTAGCCTTCCCGGGTACTATTCATGATTTTCTTCCTTTTCAGGATAAGATCAAATATCTTGTCTACATCTTCTTACCTAAGGAATTAACTCATAAAATTCACAATGAAAAATACCCAGTAATCTTTGGAAGATCCCCAATAAAGGAATCACTCAAATAGTGCAGAATTCATGACAAAAACCAATACACAGAAACAAAACCTCTCACAACTGATGGTTACTTACAAACAGAGCAAAACAGAGAAGACAAAATCCCAAAGACTTGTATTTATGAATTCAGAATCATACAAAGAAAGCTAACGCTAACATTCCAATACCATCATTATTTCCAACAAGCAAGTAGTGGAAATAATAAGAATATGCAGGATTTTAAGTAATCATCAAATGGCAAAACATATCATTCCAGAAATACAATACCCAAAAAAAGGTTAACTACCCAGTAAAGGAAACAATCGAAATAGAAAAAGTTTGGCCAGAAGATAACAGAAATATCAAACACCAATACTCCTCAACAAGAAGAACCAAGTAAAAGCTTATAATTTCAGCTAATCAGCTTACCCAGTGCACTAATTGAGTCCAAAATGCAGAGTTGGTCAAAGGAAATTCTTCTCAGAATCTCAGGACACAAGTCCGGATAGTTGACAATAAAGAAAGGCCAAATTTGCCGTAACTACAAGTTGGTATCCAAAAGGTTTTGAAACCACAAACAGGTACCTTTCATCATATGCTATTAGTGATTCTGTTTGTTAACAGTGAAAAGACTAAAATGCCCTTGAAAGTTTGATATTTTAGTTTTTTATAAATTTTTAAAAAACCCATAAGTTTGTTAATTTAACTAAATACCCCCATATATAAAAAGTTTTTTAAATAACAAAAATACCCCCATCACCTGCAGTACCAGATTCCGACCACCACCATCGGAATCTGGCCAAAAATTGTGTTACGACACAGACTCCGTCGGGTCTGTGTTGTAACGCATCGATCTGGCATTTTCTGGCTAGATCCGTGGCTGATCTGGCCGGAAAAGGCTAGATCTACGGCAGATCTGGTCGTCGACGCCGCAGATGAAGTTTTGCGGCCACGACGACCAGATCTAGTCGTAGATCTGACCTTTTTTTGCCAGATCAGCCACGGATCTGGCCCAAAAATGCCAGATCTGGCCGTCGAGGCCGCAAAACTCCATATACTGCCTCGACGGCCAGATCGACACGTTACAACGGGTCTGTGTCGTAACGCAATTTCTCGGTAAGTTTCCGGCAGTGGTGGCAGGAATCTGGCACTGCGGGTGGTGGCGGTGTTTTTATCATTTAACAAACTTTTTATATATGAGGGTGTTTAGTTAAATTAGCAAACCTAGGGGGTTTTTTTAGAAATTTTTAAATTTATAAAGAACTAAAATATCAAATTTTCAAGGGTATTTTAGTCTTTTCACTATAAACAAACAAAAATCGCTAACAGCATATGACGGAAGGTACCTGTTTATCGTTTTAAAACCTTTTGGGTACCAACTTATCGTTTCAATAAATCTTGGGTATGCGTAAATTGTTCGACCAGAAAGAAAAGCAAAGAGATACTAAGCTGACCTGTTTAGTAGTAACGATTAAAGAATTAATTTCTCTACCTTGCATAATATAACATGACGTGGCAAAAAATATTGGGTAAAAATTTATTTTTAATTTAAAATAAAATCTTTTGTTATGTATGAGAATATAAAATGTTATATGTGTGGTAATATGCTAAAATATAAAATATATAATGGATAATCTTCATTCAAGGATCTCTATTTCTTTTACAAGATTGTCCTTAGTATATCGTCTTCTTCTCTTGTTCAAAGCGTTGACTACGGGACAAATTGGTCTACACAATTCATGCACTTTTTTTTTAATTAATCCTATGTTATACAGTTATAGTTGAGTAATGCTACAATTACTGATGGGTATGTACTGAATTTGTACACCAAATAACGTGGTTAAATCCTGATCGTTGATTTATTATCAGTTAATATTAATCAACGGTCAGTATTGTGTCACGTTATTCAGTGCACAAATTCGGTGTAAACTTTTCGGTAACTCTATCATTTTCTGTTATAGTTATAGTCTTATACAAAAATACCTACAATCTAATATTTAATATCTTCTCGCAGGTTAAAACTCAAAGACCAATGAATTATCTTTGGGTGGTTGAATCGTTCGATAGAGAATCTTGAGTTTATTACTCAAGAGATTTTGAGTTCGAATCCTTCTTTAGTTATTAATAGAAGTAGACACTAAAACTCTTACTTAACCGATTGTTTCAAGTCCTAGAAAATTAGTTGAGATGTCTATTAACTAACCCGAATATCTCCGGTCATTAAAAAAAAAAAAACATTTAAGACTAATGTTGGAATGCGGAATTAATTTTGGCCCACTATCTCTCTTATTTCATAAAAATATATAACCTTACCTCCAATGTTTGTGTCCTTCCCATGTTGATATCTTGCAGTAGGCTGAAATTTTTAGTTAACTCTTTGCAAAGGATATTAAACGGAGGATTTCTTCATCTAAGATATATAAAACTTTATGAGGTATAATTTCGTATTTTCTTTAAATTTACACTTCAACTCACTAGAAACAGAAATCGTATTTTCTTTAAAATTTACACTTCAACTCACTAGAAACAAGAAATTATAGGAGTTTGGAACTTATTTTTGTCACCTTGAATTAGTTTAAAAACAACAATTAACAAACTTTTTTCCTTATAACCGGATGACAAACTCTTTAGTTATTAGGATTAGTTATACCAAAGCGTCAGACTTCCTTTTGTAAGTGATGAAATCATTTTTTACGGGAACAATCCAAAAAAAGAATTTTCCCTAATCTCATATTGATCTGATACAAATTGCAAGTAACCCTTTAGAGTACAAATAGGGAGCTTAGCCCTCCATTAGAACATAATTACCTAGACGGGTTCTTTGGGTGATTAGGAAGGCCCATGGCCTAGGTTGGTGGCCTCCACTGCACAGAGAATGTGCACCCGCTTAAGGTCTGTCCAAGTGGGAGAGCCTGCGTCATAATTTGTGATGGAGTAAAGATATATCATAATTTATGATACAATAAAGCTTGGTGCATAACTCAATCTTACATTTTTTTTTTTTACAGTTCTAATGTGGTAATTCACAGTTGGATTGACAAGATCTATTAAGAGCAGACGGGACCTATTTACGAGCTGATCAATTATGAGTTTCCATGTCGGGGTTGTGAGATAAATTTTATGAGTTAGATTGTAAGCATAACATTGTACTTTGTGGTAGCAAAGAATGTTTAGGGTCTAGGGCTATCTAAATACACTTTTATTAGAAAAATACCAAAAGTACAATGGGTATATAAAAACAATAATATTATACTTACAAAGAAATCTTATAAAGATTTTCATACAAAGTGAGGTGACAAAAAATGAATGAAATGGTGAAACAAAAAGTCAAACTCATTAAATTCACTCTTCTATTCATTTTTTACTACATCACTTTGTATAAAGATCTTTGTAAAATTTCTTTATAAGTATAAAAAAGCCAGCCACCATCCTTATTGTGCACACTGTCAGCCCCAACAACTTAAATAGTCGAAACAATTTTTGGACCTCTAATTGATCCAGTCTTACTGTGTATGAACGTGTTTGTTCTAGTTCACAATACTTAAAACAAGGACTCTTTCATTTCAGGCAGTGGCGATCAAAGGGAAGGTAATCCTTTCTACACTAGAGTTAGCATCTCAATCAACTGTCATTGATACTGCTTCATGCCTAATGAAGTCAAACATCACTGTAGAAAGATAACGAAATGGCAAGTTTAATGTCGCTTAATGAATACAGATTATGAACTGACCAACAATTTTTTTGCCATTACAACACCCGACACCAAGCCTGCTTATCTAGTCATGCTTCATTAATGCATAATGAATAAGGGACTCAAGTTTGGCTATATAAATCAGGTTAAGGTGCAAAAACACTGGTTGGATCCAATTATACCAATAATGAAGAAAGAAAATTACTCTCGCTTTTCTATTAAATACAAAGATTGTTTACCGTCAAAAATTCTCTTTAAGAACATTTAGATGAATTGAATATTAGTTTTACACCGACAAAAAGAGCTAATTCGCAGATTAAATTAGAAAACAATTAAGACGCATGCTTTTTTTTTTTAATAACCGTGGTGTTCGGATCAGTTTATGCGCACCTCAACTAATTCTATGAAACTTGAAACTACTGGATAGATAAAACCTTCAGTGACTACCTCTATTAGCAATTCGAACTCAAGATTTCTTTAGTAATATATCCAAGAGTCTCTATCGAATCATTCGACCACCTAAAAGTAGTTGAATTATTATAAATGTTTATATATAAGTTCAATGTGATTTCACTTCCTCTTTTAGTTTCAGAGAAGGGATGACATGTAAAATCATAGTGTGTAAAATGCGTGGCATAATGAGTGGTCAGTCGAACCACCTTTCAAGGGATTCTCAACTACGGTTTAAACTAAGCAACATATCTGTGGTATAATTATTCGTATTTTCTTCAAAATTTACACTTCAAACTCGCTAAGAAAAGAGATAAATTAACTCCTTTGGTAGAGGGTTGTGCGGTAGACAAGAGTTGTCCGAAATCTCTTTCTCTTGATGACATTGATGGCCCCGTAAGTGATGAAAATCCAGAAGAATAGCGAATGACAGAAGAACTTTCCATAATCCCACATCGATCTGTTACAAACGGCTGTTAAAAGGTTTACATGTACAAGAAAAGAGGTTAGCCCACTGTTAAAACATACTTACCTGGACGAGGCCTTTGGGTGATCAAAAAGGCCTATGGCCTAGGTTGGTGGCCTCCATTGCACTTAGGAGGTGTACCCGCCTAAGGTCTGCCCAAGCGGCAGAGCCTACGTCATATTTTGTGGTAGCGGGGGCCTGCGTGCGCGCGGCCCCTATCAAACTGATCACAAGGATTAAGACACGTTTATTATGATTAATGCCTGGATTAAAACATGTTTTTTTCTGAAGTTGTTAAATTGTAACTGGTAACTGATAACGCTCCAATTTATTAAGATCACCACAATTTATTTTTATTGAATACAGAATACAGGCAAGTTTATAAGAATGTAATATAGTTTGTGAATTTGTTCAACTCCTCAATGACTGGTCATATTTTCTACCTCGCGTCTAATGGAATCAAACAGCACTGTGGATAGATAACGCTCTCCACTACTGGGGAAAATCACCTGCACATGAACCCAAACAAATTCAATGGTTACTGTAGTATGATGCAGATTCCATTAGTCCACCTCAAAACAATGCCTGTTTATGAGGCACGGTTATCAGCAATGCATAATTGTGTTAGGTTCAAATCCGAAAAACGGATGAACTAAAACCCAGTTTGACCAGAACTTTTGGCAGCCAATCTGATGTTATTAGTTTGCTGAAGTGCAGATGTATCTTAATATTGCTTAAATTTGCTTTTTATGACCCAACTGAAGTTATAGGCAGAATATCTTATGAATTTTAGACTACTATGCAAAATACTAATAAACAGTAGATAAATACAGATACATTCTGATTTCTTTGTTTTGAATGTAAATGAACAAAATCAAGACTTACAACAAAAAGTTTCCCAGTATTTTCAGGCCTCTTTGCCAACTTTATAGCAGCAGCTGCGGCAGCCCCAGATGATATTCCTACCTGCCAAAGAATCCCACAATTAGCATTGTACTTCAACTGAGATATGTAATCGGATTGGATAACAAAAATTGAGTGGTAGTACTTGAAGTAGTTTCGGAAATGTTAACATACCAACAAACCCTCTTTCAGAGCAAGCAGCTTAGCGGTTTCTATAGCTTCCTCGCTTGATATCTGGAAAAAGTCACGGCAGTAGTACAAGTCAAGAGAAGAGAATATAATTCCTACTGACATTGTTGTGTCGGCAAGGCAATTTACTATACTTCAGACTATAGGTATTTTGACAGTAAAAATGAGTAGCAAGCCTTGAACTATATATTTTGATCTACTATTGTAAAAGCTCCATGCCTCCATCGCAAGGCACTTATAGTTCTTTAAAGCATAATTACAGAGTACAATCCTATGTTTTGCTCTACAATTCTAAAAGTTCCATCCTATGAGCTCTACCGACTGAGCTAGACGGGCTGAATACAAGTTAGGAGATTTGCTGTAAGTCAGAGAAAAACTTTGATCAACTTGTTCCTTCAATCTCCATTGGAGCCTAAGAGTCCGACTTCATAACCACAATTTGCTACCTTATATTGATCCTACACTGGATCCATGACAAGCACCGGAGATAATACTAGGAGTTTCATGTATGATGAAATCTCATTGTGAGGGTTTTTTTTCCAGAAATTCAAAAATAAACATAAATGTAGTGCTAGCAGATAAAATTGTGCATGCCAATTCAAAGTAAACAAGCAAGAAATCGATTTTAAGACTTACTGGAATAACTTCATCAAGTATGTTAACATCCAAAGTATCAGCAATGAAACCAGCTCCAATGCCTTGGATTAGATGCTTTCCTATAAAAGGTTGCACCACAAAATTTACACAATCAGGAAACGACTGTCTTCAAAATAGGAATTCAAAATCTGTACAAGAATGCAAAATCTTTCCAACAGTTAATTCACCAGGTTGTCCTCCATTTAAGATTGCACTTTCAGATGGTTCTACACCATATACCTACAAGTAAATAATGAAAAGGAAAACCATTGGCATAAATAATCAGGAAATCTTTTTCTCTATCATAAAATTCAAACAAGTGCTCAAATAATACTCTCAAGATAACCTTAATATTTGGGTTCTTCTCTTTTAGGAATCTCCCTGCACCGGATGCTGTACCACCAGTCCCTACCGCTGAAATAAGGGCGTCAACTTTCCCTCCTGAGTCTTTCCATATCTCCGGGCCAGTGGTTTCATAATGAATCTACACAAATGATCACAAACACATTCATATATTCTTCAACCAACCAACTTTGTGATATCAATCAAGAGAGTACCTCAGGATTGGCAGGATTTGCATGTTGCTTAAGGGTATAACCATTCGGTATATTATTTACCATCTCCACAGCTTTTTTAAACATTTCCTCAAATCCCAAGGATTCATCAAAGAGATATAACTCAGCTCCAAAAGCTCGCAGCACAATTTTTCTCTCAAGACTACATACTGACGGCATCATAATGATGAGTTTGTAACCCCTTGTTGCTGCAATGGAGGCCATTCCAATGCCAGTGTTGCCAGTGGTAACCTCTACAAGGACAGTCTTTGCAGAATTTCATTGAAACACATCCAGAAGGAAGTTTGTTAGTTCACATTTTGCACGTTTTGAGCTACTCATGATGTTCATATTTATCAAAAATACATTTTGCATAATCTTTATGATTAGCCTAACAAATCAACTTTAGAAATGAAGGATTTTTAATGCATACCTTTCCTGGCGTAATTAAGCCCCTATCCTCTGCATCTTTGATCATATTATATGCAATCCTTCATGCCAAACATTTAAAGCCAAATATATGGATATGAGCATATACATTTACATGGTCATACAAAGAAGATGAATTGAGAAAAAGAAAATATTTTTTTTATATATATATACACCTGTCTTTGACACTAGAGCAAGGTTGCATCATTTCTAGCTTGGCGGCAATACGGGCTACACAACCATCCACAACATGATTGAGATATACCATTGGAGTATTGCCTATCAGCTGAACAAACCCACATTGCAGATGAGATTACGGCAATTGAAGACAAATGGAAAGATAGAGAGCACACAAGTTAAGTGAATAAAAATTACTTCAGTAATATCTTTCTTGATTGCTGTCTTCTCCTCCATGGAGCTACTTCAATAAACACTACAAAAGATATCAAGCAGCAGATTAAACATGTGCCGCAACAGCCAAGGCATAAATTTCTTTGGACTTGAAACAAACACTTAATGACTGTTTCATTAGGTTCTCCTAGAAAAGATTAAGAAAATTTCTTTTATTCTTTCATAAAAAATGCTTTAGATGAGCTATCAAACAGCCTGAATCACCTCTGAAGGAGGATCAATTAAACAATTCACAAGAAACAGAGAAAAGAAAAGTACCCACAATCAATAAAGCACCAAAATTTAGAGAGCAAATTAGAGCACAAACAAGGGAGAATTAATTTAAGATATTATAGTAGACTTATCTTATCTGTGAATGTAGATTGTAGGCGGGTTGTTCCAATCCTTGAATGTTTATTCATTTATGCTTATCAAAACAAGGACATATCACACTTTTAAAAAGAATTTAAAGAAGATATGAATTGACCACTGCACTAACCTGGTCCTACGGATTTAAAGAAGATATGAATTGACCGCTGTACTCACCTGGTCCCACGGATTGAAAGAAGATATGAATTGACCACTGTACTCACCTGGTCCCACGGATTTAAAGAAGATATAATTGACCACTGCACTAACATGGTAATGACTAATTAGACCTATGTTTTTTTGGCTCATATATAGTCAACTGCTGCATGCAAGATAAGTAACATCAATTGTGTTCTTGTATTGAAGTTTACTGCAACAGCAAATTTTTTAAAATATTTATAAATTAAGTATGTTTGAATTTGATTCAATGAATTTCACCTATTAGGAGCATCTCTTATGATGCTCTTTATTTTAAAGAGAATATTTCATATAAATAGAAAGTATTTTTATTGATTTTTAAATATAAAGAACAAAAATTTTATTCAAATCTAATAAACTCTTTAAATTTTAGAACAGAGAATATGTTTTTTCAAGAAAAAGACTTAATATGAGAGATAAATCATAAATAAAATACATAAAAACTTATAATTTATTATTTAAAATTTGGATAAAGAGTGAAATTTGACTCTCTAAATGTAAAGAGTCAAATTTACTCTTTAATTTATATTTAAAGAATAAAGAATCTAACTCTTTTTTCTATGAATAAATTCTTTATAATAAATAGTTTATGTTATTTAAAGAGTCCTGTGAGATGCTCTAACAAAGTTAAATATTACAACTCTTTATGTAAAAAAAAAAAAAAAAAAAGTAAAAAGTCAGATCCTCAAGTTTATGGGCATGGATAAGCGGAATCATCTAATAAATTAGTGTTTTGAAAAGTTAACCAGTAGCTCCATCCATGTCTTAAACATGCTAAAAGAATCGCATGTAACCGCCTCCCTAAGAAACATAATTTATAAATATTTTAAACAAGGAGCTGAGCCCTCCGTTAGAACATACTTACGAAGACAGGGTCTTTGGTTGATCAGAAAGGCCCAAAGCCTAGGTTGGTGGCCTTCACTGCACAGGGGAGGTGCACCCGCCCAAGGTCTGTCCAAGTGGGAGAGCGTACGTCATAATTTGTGGTAGCAGAGAATGTTTAGTTCCGTTTAGTTCACTTTTTTGCAGTTTTTAGAAAAGTTTTTAAAAAAAGTTAAAAAAAGTTGAATTGGACGGGTATTACGATGTAAGATTTGGAAATTAATAAAAATACCTCCTATATTTGTTTATTTACTAAACACCCCTATAACAAAACTTTGAAAGTTAACAAAAACACCCCCAATCCACCCATTGAATAATCACAGCCGGCCACCACTGTCGGAGGGTGGCCGGAGTCGCCGTATCGACGCATGAATGGTTGGATCTTGCCAGTCATGCGCCGATATGGCCTTTGCCGGCCAGATCCACGGTGGATCTGGCCGGCAAAGGCCAGATCTACAGCTAGATCCACTAGATCGGCGCACTACCAGCCAGATTCAGCTGGTAGTGCGCCATTATATCAGATTTCGACCAACTTCTGACAGTGATGGCCGGAATCTGGTATAATGTGGGTTTAGGGGTGTTTTTGCAATTTCGAAAAAAAATATTTAGGGGTATTTAATTAAATTAACAAATTTAGGGGGGTGTAAAAAAAGTTGAATAATATTGGATAATATTGTGAGTTTTTGGGCATTTTACTGTTTAACTTTTTTGGGAATATTAATAATAGTATTCCTAAAAACCAACCAAACAGAGCCTTAGATTCCAGGACTATCTAAATAGACTTTTATTAGAAAAATTCCGCAAGTACAATGTGTAGATAGAAAAGCCAGCTACCGTCCTTATTGTGCACACTGCCAGCCCCAACAACTTAAATTGTCAAAACAATTTTCGGACCTCTAAATTGATACAATCTTATTTTGTATGAACGTGTTTGTTCTAGTTCACAATACAAAATACAAGGACTGCTTATTTCAAGCAGTGGACATCAAAGGGAAGGTAATACTTTCTACACTTGAATAGCATCTTGTAGGCGGTAAAATCTACGGTTGATTCAGAAAGGATGAATCTTGTGAGAAGCGAGTCACTGACAATCTGATGGACCTGCATAAAGAGAATAAAGGAATGTGAAGGCTCGGGGGACACTGGTGTGGTGTCTGCCGTCAGCATGGTTGAAGGTATTTAGTCAGGGCTGAGAGCGGGAAAGGTTTACCGTAATAATGTGGCTAGGGCTAGACTAACACAAAGTGGCCGGAGGATAGCTTTGCAGTGGCTGAGGGTGGTGAAGTTAGTCAGAACTAAGCTTTACGGTGAGGAAAGACGATGATTCTTGAGAGCAAGAATTTAGGAGCTAACGCTATGGGTGATTTCTGAATGAATAATGAGAAGGCTGACCTCTGTTTATATAGTGAACCAAGAAGGTTGGAATCCTAATAGGACTTTAAGTCCTACTAAGTAGAGGAGTTCGAATTAGGAAGGAAGTCTTGTGACTTGTCTTTATCTGATCAAGACTACCAATTCGAGTAAGATCTTGGATCTTGACTAAAGTGGAAAGTAGATAGGACTCTGATTCCTATTTTGAGGATGATTTGGAATAATGTGTTGGAACCTTATTTAACTTAACTTGTAGGATAACCCAACTCATAGAGTGGTCAGTTCATAAGGCGGATTTAAGCGTAGGCCCAACTGGAATCTGGTTAAGGCATTAGGCCGTAATAAGTTTATTTTGTTATTGGACCTTGTTAGGCCGAATACGATTTTTGGCCCATACAGTTGTCCCCCATTCTCTAAGTTAAAGGGTATTTAGCTTAGAGAGTAGATTCAATTAATCGTAGACATAATATGAATGACTTGACGTCTTCTCGAGGATGGTTTGACTCGAAGCGCTTGTTACTGCTACAAGGGCAAAGGCGGTGGTTCTTGGGAGCAAGAACTTTGTAAGCTAGAGAAGGGATTGTGATTCCATCCATAATGAGAGGCTTGACCTTTGCTTTTACAAAGGACTCAAAGGGGTTGAGTCCTTGTAGAACTAGATGTTCTCATAGTAGGAGTTTGAGTAAACAGGAAACTCGTAGTACCAATCCAGTAGGATTATGAGTATTAGTTAATGTAAGACTAGGAGTCTTGGATGAACTAGGATTTGTATAAGACTAGAATCATATTGTGGAATAAGTGTAGACTGATGGGCTCGAGCCTAAGGCAACTTATCTTATAGAAAAGCCTAACTCATGGAGTAGGCTGACTTATGGTGTGGACCAACTCGTAGATTGGGCCGACTCATAGAGCAATCCTTCTTACAAAATAAGTCATCTTGCTGGATGGTCCTCTCACAAGATGAGTTTTGATATGGACCCATGTGGAGTTGGGTTATGGTATTGAGCCTTAAGCTTTTAGGCCAACCGGAGTTGGGCTTTTGGCATAAGCCCAACTGAAGTTGGGTCATGGCATGAAGCCATATGTTATTGGATCAACTAGAGTTGGGCATTGGCATGGAGCCTTTTGTTATAGGGCCAACCAGAGTTAGGCCTTAGTGTTGAGCCTTTTGCTATTAGGCCAACCGAAGTTGGGCCTTTGGCATAAAGCCTTTTGTTATTGGACCTGTCAAGGGTCCAATACAGATTTTTGCATCTATAATTTGTCCCTCACCCTCTAAGTTAAAAGGCTTCTTAACTTTAGAGAGCAATTTGAGTTAGATGTAGGTGTTGAACGAGTGAAGCAGTGCCTCTAGGAGGGTAAGTCATCTCATCTCTTTCATGCTTTTTATGAAGAGGATGTACATTTGACGCTGATTCGGGTTTGAGTCAGCTAAGGATGGAGCAGTTGAATGAAGATGGAGTAGTCGGCTCGACATGCTTTGTCTAGTGGGGTGCAGGACCCTTTGGAGTGGAGGATGTATGCACTCTGTCTTAATAAATGTCATGTTGGATAGAATGTTGGAGTTCCACTCGACATGTCCTATCAAGTGGAGCGTGGAGACCAAAGAGTTGTGATCTAGGCCTTGACGCTCGGCTCGACATGGTGTCGAGTTGCTTTGTCAAATGAGAGTCAAGGGCTCATTAGGTGGGGTAGTCCCTTGAGAGTGTGGTCTCACTCGACATTAAGTCGAGAGAAAGTCAAGTTGAGCTGAGTCGGACGTCGATGTAGAGCCGAGGTCGAGCCATATCGTAATGTAAAGCCGGATTTCAATAAATAGCTGAGCTGAGATGAGCCGAAACGAAATTTGATGTAAAATTGATGTAGGGCCGACTCGTAAGGTAGAGTATGGACTTTGATGAATAGCTGAGTGAGAGTTGAGTTGATTCGTACTTCGATATAGAGCCAGCTAGGATGAGAGATGGACGGGTATGTGCCAGCATTAGCTTGTCCCCCATTGTACAGTCGTAGGACTCTACCTTAGGAGTAGAGTCTAGTGGTGCTTGGTCGACTGGGCATGGAGTCGAGTGGCACTTGGTCGACTAGGTGTGGAGTCGAGTTGCACTTTGTTGACTAATTATCTCTGTGGAGTTGAGTCTCAAAGAGTCAAGTGACTCTTCTAAAGAGGAGACTTCAACGAGTGGGCGTCATAGGGATAAGCCAAATCGAGTAATGAAGAGTCGAGTACTCTTCTGAAGAGAAGACTTCAACGAGCGTGCATCTTGGGGATGAGCTAAACCAAGTAACAAAGAGTTGAGTGACTCTTCTGAAGAGGAGACTTGAATGAGCGGGCTTTTTGGGGATGAGCTGAACCAAGCAGCGAAGAGTCAAGTGACTCTTCTGAAGAAGAGACTTCAATGAGCAGGCATCTTGGGGATGAGCCGAGTTGAGTCGCGAAGAGTCGAGTGACTCTTCTGAAGAGGATACTCCAACGAGTGAGTGTCCTAGGGATGAGCCAACCCAAGCCGAGTTGCGAAGAGTCGAGTCTTTTTTTAAGACGAGTGGAAGCCTTAGAGATGAGTTGAGCCAAGCGAAGAGGAACCAAGTGGGGAAGAGTCAAATGACTCTTTTAGAGATGAGTAAAAGCCTTAAGGTTGAGCCAAGCTGAGCGAAGTAGAGCAAAGCGAAGAGAAGCCGAGTAGGGGACATTTGAATGACTTAGGAAGAGGAGTGGAAGCCTTGGGGAAGAGTCGAGCCAAGCAGAGAATAGCGAAACGAATAGGAGTCGAGTGGGGAAAATTTGAATGACTCAGGAAGAGCAGTGGAACCCTTGGGAAAGAGCCAAGTTGAGCGGAGAAGAGCAAAGCGAAGAGGAATCGAGTGGGGAAGAGTCGAATGACTCTTTTGAAGAGACTTCGAGTAGGAGTCTTGAGGATGAGCCAACTAAGAAGTTCCCCACTCTCTTAGTTGCAGCCAAGTGAGGCCACGCAAGGCTAAATGAGGCTATGTGAGGCCAAGTGAGGTTGTGTGAGGCTGAGTGAGGCCATGTGAGGCAGTGTCCCCACTCTCTAAGTTGCGGCCAAGTGAGACCTAGTCGACTGAGTAAAGTTGAGGCCGAGCCGACTACTAGAGTAGAGGCCGAGACAATCGGATGACAGAAGTTGAGCCGATTGGATGAGTGGAAGCAGAGCTGGCTGAATGAGTGAAGGCGGAGCTAACCAGATGAGTGAAGGCCAAACCGACTGGATAAGTCTGTGTGAAGGTAAAAGGCCTGTTTAGCTTATACTATTGGAGCGGGGTTGTTTGGATAAGTGACTCAGTGGCTATGAGGGTGTTGATGGGTTGAGTCGACTCAATGTGAGTCGGTTTGGATAGAGGTGTAATGGTAGTATTTGTGGCCGAATGGAGATGGGATTGGCTTATTAGGGTTCCATGATCAGGGGTTATGAATAGTGATGGATCGGGATGTGAGACCTTGAGGCGTGTTGTTGACCCAAGGGGAAATCGAGGGAGTATAATTGATTTACCTTCTTTTAGAGGGCTTGGTTTTCCGCCCGGATGGCAGCATTCTTAGGTTCCAAGTGTTGGTAAGTGACCGTCTTCACGCAGTGGAAAAACATATTTTAAAACGAAAAAGATCACTTACACATCCCAAAATCCAAGCGCATATTATATTGTTTACATGCATAAACTTAAAACGTATAAAAACATATCTGTGTAAAATAAACAACCCAATCTAGAACACTTACGCACGTTTGGAGGCTCCTCCAAATATCTTTGGATCTTATT